TTAGCAATGTCATAAATGCCAAGTACCAAATTTATTGACATGTAGTTTAGTATGTGCTGCAGTCTAATTTTTTATATGTAATTACTGAAGTAGTAATATACAATACTGCAGAAGAATTAACTATGTGAACAGGAGAATCAGAGAAAAAAAATCCCTGTATGTAAAGCTATAAAGAAAATGAGCATAAATCATTGCCTTTGACATAAATATTTGCACAGGCAGTGAGCTGAGATTTTTATTTGATTTAGATTTTTTTTACCAGTTCTGAATTTTTCTTCATATCACTAGATTAGGTGATAATTTTGATTATCCTTCTGACTTTCTCTGGATGACATTTTTCTTGTAGTGAGGAAATAATCCAGTGGTTTATTAAATTCTTGCATATATCTACAAGAAATATGAACTGCTGCAGATGTCCTTAAAAAAAAGAGTGAAAGAGTAAGAAGAGATTTTGTATGAAATGTAATTGAATAGAATATTAAAAATATGGCTCTCAAGACACTATAAACATTTAATGCCTTATTCTAATAACTGTTAGAGATGTTAATTTGCTAACTGCAAATCTATTATCACTTTTTTTTTTTAAAGCACAGTGGGAAGCATCAGGTTAACATCACTAGAAAATTTTTTTTTTCCTTTAAAGCTTGTTGTATTACTGAAGATTTGTTTCTTAGCTTCATCTAGTTTTCTTGATTTTTTTAATTAATTTTTTTTTAATTTTTAATCCTGAATAGTCCTTAAACTGGATCTAAGGCATTAAAAAGAATCTGATCTTAAATCACTGCATATGATTTTATTCTCTGATTTTGGGTAAAGCCCAAAGAGCATGAGGTACAAAGTCATTTACTGATGTACATACTGATAACTTAGCTGCTAACCCTGAGAGCAGCCTGATAAAACTTTACTGAAGACTGGAGCCTACCAGCAGTTGAAGCCTTACATTCTTGTCTGTAAGACTGGAAGCTTAGCAACAGGCTAAGAGAGGGCAAAGCACTTAGAATATTCTCTGATAATGGAGAAAAATCAAACGTTTGAAAATAGCTAAGTTAGTTTTTTCCACACAAAAAACACTAAACAACATATTGTGATGATTATTCAGATGTCTGGAGAGCTCTGAGCCTGAGAAGGCACCAGCCAGAGTGCACTCACTAGCAGACAATTCCTTTCCCTCCAACAGTACTTACCATGCCACTTCACACATCAGACTGAGGGCACGAAGTGCTAGAGAATGAAGAAAGTCACAACTACCTCAGAAGTCAGCAGTAAATGCAGCACAAGTAAGCAGGAATTGGGATTTGACCAGGAGCTAAAGCCAAATCTACTTTGGAAGGCTGAAGCATTGCAGGATGATGAAGACACCAGCTGCAGCAACTCCAAGCACTGATTACCAAGCAAACACCCAGCAGGCCAACCTGGAGTCTTAATTAGAAAATTTTTTAAAATCCCATTTTCCCCTCAGCCAAAAACCTCATTTTTTCTTGCTCTATGCTCAGAGAAGGATGAGATTAATATGTGGGATGAATTTTATTGCAATAAACATTTTGAGAATACGACAATAAACAAATTACCAGGAAGAAAAGTATTACTAGGAAAGGAAGAAATATGACCAAAAGTTATTCAAAGTCTATTTCGCTGAACAATAAAATAGTCAAAAAAACTAAAAATGCTGCCTCTGTGGTATGTTTTTAATACATACTTGGGAAATGAGAACTAAAGGTCCAAGCAATGACCGAAGAACAGACTTTACTTGCTTTCGAGCATAGCCTAATTCATGTGCATAGGGAAGGTTGATTACAGGTCTCTGTAATTTCACTGTTTTTCAAATTCAGGAGTGTGTATGACTCTTGTTAGAGATGTGAATAACACCAGAGGAACACACGTAACCTCCACAGGAACACTTTCAGAATTGTAGATTTAAAATCCTCAGTCATCCTGTTAAGACTGCACTTTAATAGAAATGGAACCTTCAGTCTAGTGGCACTGAAAATTAAAAGGGTTGTAGAGGAGTATTGATGCTAGGGGATAGGTGAAAGCCAACAGGCACACCAGAGCACCTGGTTCAGAATGAGGAATCCCCTGAGAGGATGTGGTTAATATTCATCTCTGAAAGGCCAGGAGGGAATAGATATAAAAATAGGGTGGACGAACCAGACTGCTAGCCAGGCTGTCTGACTGGCATGTGCAATGTCAACAAATGCAGAATCACAGAATCACACAGAAATAATCAGGCCAGAAATAAAGACCTTTGAGCTCTTCAAGTCCAACCTATGACTCAACACCACCATGACAGCTAGACCATGGCACTAAGTGCCACACCCAGCTGTTCCTCAAAAATCTCCAAGGATGGTGACCCCACCACCTCCTTCGGCAGTTCAATGCAGTATCTAATCACTCTTTCTGCGGAGAAAATAATCCTTTCTTTGGAATCAAAGTAAAGCAAAGCTAAAATTTATTTTCTGTGCCAGAACTACAAGCCTAATGCAGAAGATGCTGATGGTACTGAGGATATTCTCACACTCAATGTATTCTGTGTATCAGACAGAGCAGAAGAGCTAGAACACTAGAGAGTATATGCAGAACAAAACAAGAAAATCAGGTGTTAGTTAGTGACCAGGACTGAGTGGGATTTATCTGAGAAGTATCTGAAGTATTGTAAGAAGAAACTGCAGAGAAGATGGGGTCTCTTGAAGGCTGAAGCAGACATGTTTAACTTTTATGGGAGTGGATAAAGTGGTTGCAGAGCTATTATTCATTCAGTTAGGGGAAGTTCAGACCAGACATTAGGAAACATTTCTTTATGAAAAGGGTGGTCAAACACTGGAATAGATTTCCTAGAAAGGTGGTTGATACCTGAAGCCTGTAAGTGTTTAAGAGTACTCTTCAAATTTTTGGTCAGCAATGAAGTGGTCAAGAAGTTGGACTAGATGAGCTCTGTATGCCCATTCCAACTGAAACAGTCTATTCTGTTATATTCTAAATCCCACAATAAAATAACTAAAGGCAGTCAGTGAAATTACTTGAAGATGTGTTTAAATTAGATAGAAGAATGTTCTTGTGAACTTGCTGCCACAGAAAGTAACTGTCAGCAGTTTTAAAAAAGGATTACGTGGGAAAAACTCACTCACAAAAGCTTCATAATCCAATACCAAAGGTATGAGGCTGGGAATGTAACTGTGGGTACTGGGGGAGTCTCTGGGGAAGGGACTGTGTAAATTGGCCAGACACCCATGCTGTCCTTAAATGCCATCCTCTGCTGCCACTGCCAGTCTGACCTAGACTTGGACTTTGGTTGGGCTAAGTGCATTGACAAGGTATTTTTTCCAGAGTTCACAGAAGTCCAAGGGGAATGTAACAGGAAAACTGTGCAGGGTGATTATCTAAGGTGTTTTATTCAGAGGGATATTAGGATAATTAAATTTGTAATTATGACCAGATTTTTGAACTTGTCTTATAAAATGAAGCATTACTTCCATGTGTTATTCTTTTAATCTTGAAAAGGTAAGGACATTCACCCAGAGATCTTTCCCAGTACTATTTGCTACAGATTCTTACAGAAAGAGCCCTAAGTAGTTATAAAGTTAATGGATAAGGAAAAGAGACAGCACAAGCAGAATTATCATGATTGAAGAAAATACATAACTAAACATTTTTGCTAATGATTATTCTCCACAGAATAAAGCTGACAGAGCAGTCAATTCTTATACAGATAACAGCCAGATCTACCAATACAAAATCGGCTATTACAGAGCTGTTATTTTCATGTGGGCAAAACTAAAAACTGTAATTTTCTTCCTTTTCTCTTTTCCACTATACAATGATTATTGCAGGTGTGAAGAAAGTTTCATTCTGCTTTTATTCCAGCTCCTCTGCATCCTGTCGTAATAAATAGGGCAGTCATGAAGATCAGAGGATTTTTACAATTTACAAACTGATTTCTTATTTGTTTTTTAAATCCCTCTCAAAGACTCCAGAACTGCAGAACAACTAGCAATATACACTGACTATCTGCACCACCTTCATTTATTGACAATTTAAATTTATTTTCTATGTCCTGTGGAATTCATGACTGATAATGTGTGCTCACACCATCCAATACATCTGGGAAGACATTGTCAGTAAGAGAATGAGAAACTGTGCCATGGCAGATGAAGTTTGGAATCAAGTTGCTTTCACCTTTCATGTGCAGGGTGAAGGTTTTATCCATGTTTCACGGCTTCAAATTTAGATAATTTCTAGAGGCGTATATGTGAAATACACCCAATGCCACTGATTCACTTTGCTGATTGATGGCATTTAACCTCAAAGACACAACACAGTATGTTCTTATAGTCAGCAGGGCTTTTTAGGACTTGCACAAAACACTTCAACATAATAAATGCTGATATAATTCAAATCAGGAGTAAAAATAGTTATGATGCAAAGGGCCAGTGGTGCATAGAAGTCACACATAGATCTGAAAAGGAAAATAGCGATTAATGTATCTTCTCAAGAGCAGGTTTACTCAACTAAAATAAGCAAAATTGAAGCACTGTGGAATAGTCAAAACAGTCTTTAACCTTCATTATTTTACAGTAAATAACTTTTAGACTGGAAAGGTATTGCCTTACTTTGCTGGATTTATGAAGACTGAAGCAAAATATTTTATCATGCTTCTAACTTCAGAAATTTAGAAGTTCCATTAAATTTACTGGAATGATTCACATACTTAAAGCTAAATACATATTCAGAGCTTTGGAAGAGCTTGACCTAGATGTTAAGTGTAGTGACAAAACTGTATTAAAGATAAATAAATCCAAAGGATAAGTTGATATTAATTAAATTATAGAACGAAATATATATTAATTCTCCACAAAAACCCATAGAAAATATATCCCACTTAGACAAAAGACATGTGAGACAATGCAAAATGCCATAAAATATGAAAAGGATTAGCATATAGGTTAATATAACTTCCCAATTAATTATACTAGCAGAAAAGGTTAATAAATTGAAGGTGCACATTTCATAGAATTTTCTACTAAAGAACTTTATTTACATTTATCTAAAAATTAGTATAATTTAATTTGTGGTACTTCACAACATGATAATACATTGTTACTTCTAAAAGGGAATAATACACCATTTAGAATTGTTTTTTTGGAATGTTAATACTTTGTCACACAATAGTCTAACTGAACTGATATTTCTTAGGCAAACTGTACAGTGTCAAATTTAATTAAATGTTTGCTTGTTAGATTTGATAAAAATAGACAGGAAAATCACCTAAAACAACAGAAATTCCACTGTTCTGTAAAATGTGAGATAATATGATTTAAATGTATTTTTCCCTTTCAGTTCTCAGGAACATATGGCCACTAATAAAGTTTTGTTGTTTAGGTATATAATTTAAATCTCTCAAAAGTACATTATGTACTATGGTTAAAGAAAAAGGTAAAAAAACACATTATATTAATGCCATGCAAGATTTTGGAAACTGGAGGTAAATAAACAAATAATTTTAGAAGCAGCTTCAGGAATCTGCTTAAGCCTGTGGTGACTCGCTCACAAATGTATGCTAAACGTGCATGAGAATAGATGTTTATTATCACAGCACCATAAAATTGACTGGCATGGTGTCCTAGACTTTCCCAAAGTAACAACTGGAGTACCAAGAGTTTAAGATCAGAATTTTAGGAGGTTCTCTAGAGTCCAGTAGTTTATGCCAGGAAATTTGAAGATGAGGTGGCAATAGTCATCATAGAGAATAAATGCCTTTATGAATAATTTGCCCTGCATGTGAATTAATTCATATGTAGAGACATAAAATATTTCTTTAGATGGTAATTTAAGAGGACTCATCTGGGCTTGAAAACTGTGTAATGTGATGTGAGTAGAGATAAATGTGCTTAAAAAAACTGAACACAGATGTGTGCTGTCATCACTCCCATTCTTTGGCTGATGGATCAACCTTTCATGAAACAAGAAAACTGCTGTTTCCAAAATGTTTGTAAGTAGAACTGCTTTCTTAATCATTCTTTCATTCATACATATATATGTGTGTGCGTGTGTGTATGCGTGTGTGTCTGTGTGTGCACACACATCTCTTGACTGCTGTGAGATCACAGCACAAGTCTCTTTGTTTACAGATGCTGCTGGGAAAACCAAATAGAACAAAAGGAAAGAGAAATAAGGAAATAAGAAAATACCTTACAGTCCAGATTCCCTCTTCTAAAAAAAACTCAAATCAAAGAAACAAACAAAACCTCACCAACCTATAGACTATTCTCCATTTTCTAATTCTTGTTCCAGCTATTTTCCATTTACACTGCTGTAGCCTAATGTAAGCCTCAGTGACTTCTTCCAGAACTGTATTTTTGTACATAAAACTTTCTCTTTTCTATAAAGTTTCCATAGCTTATAGCTTCCACATCTGTGCCTATCTTCACAGAGAGGCCAGAGAAGCAACAGAAATTTTCTGATGTTGTTCTTACTGTCTTGTTGCTATGAATAGTACATTTCTGGTCTTGAAAAGGACTTCTGAATCAATGCTATCCTGGAGCTTTCCTCTGCTTTCTGCACTTTGGCATGATATATTTGACAAGGTCAGAGAGGTAAAGAGAAATTTTAACATTTATTTAGGATTTTCTTCCCCTTTAAACAGTAAACCTGTTCTAATACCACTCTTTGTCTCTTTTCCCATGCCTTTATTCTCCTTCCATGCTCTTTCTTTGTATGCTCCCCTTCTCCTCCTGCCTTTTGCTCTACCATACCAGTAATTATTATCTTGATCAATAACCAACCCCATGCTGCAATTAATATTCCAACCTTGGTAGATGCCATCATATGTTTCTCTTCCCTTTATCACTAAAAACAGGGATTAAGGTAAGTGTAAAGATAGACCACGCAACAAAAATCATGCCAAAACCCAATGGAAAGAATTAATTTTTCTATTTCCTCTCCTTTGCAAAAGGGAAGGGAAGCAGCATGGTCTGCAGAGACTCTTTAAAAGTGAGTGGGAAGGCCAGGAATATCAAATCTATTGCTTCCAGAAACAGGGCAACTCCTCCACTGGAAGGAAAACACTGAGCCAAAATATGAAAAGCCAGTAGCAGTAGATTTTTTACCATTTTTTAATGATTCATTTTGGACATCTAGTAATTTTTAAATTTGGTTTTGACAAATGACTGAAGACTGAACAATTATTTAGAGATTCCTTGTGGGGGAGTCAAAGTGATACTGGCAGTTAGAAGCTGGAACAATTTGAATAGGAAAAATTACACAAATGTTAATGATGCATTTTAGATATGTACTATAAAAAGTCATAGAGTATGAAATTTTTTTTTTTTTTGACAAAGATTTAATGAAAATTTAAAACTTAACCAAAAAAAACCAGAGACACAGAGTTTGTCATTATTTCCTATTGACTTTACTGGAGTTTGAATCCACCCTACTGTACTGGCCCATTTTCACCTCTTTCTCCCATAAACAGAGGTACATATTCAGACAGAGAGTTCAGCGTCACCTTCTCTTTGAGAAGCACAAAATTTATACCTAGGTTACACTGCTTTTCGCCTTCCTGATGCTGGTTTTTGAAAGAGCAAAGAAAATAAAGGATAAAGAAAATTTCAAGGATATAAAGATACAAAAATGATTCGCGGACCTGTTGGGGTGAGTTCCAAAGGAGGGCCACAAAAATTATTACAAGCATGGAACATCTCTTCTATGAGAAAACACTGAGAGAACTGGGGCTGTACAGCCTGGAGAAGAGAAGGCTCCAGGGAGACCTTAGTGCAGTACTTAAAGGTGGCCCACAAGAAAACTGGACTTTTTACAAGGGCAAAACTACAGACCTTTTACAGGGGCATGTAGTGCCAGTACAAGGGTTACTGGCTTTAAATTTAATGAGGTTAGGTTTAGACTGGTGGGGCACTGGCACAGATTTCTCAGAGAAGTTGTGGATGTCCCTGGAAATGTTCAAGGTCAGGCTGGGTATGGGGCTTTGAGAAAGCTGGTTCAGTGAAAGGTGGCGGTGACCAGGGCAGCAGAGCTGAATCTAGATGCTTTTTAAGGTTCCTTTCAGCCCAAACCATTCTAGGAATCTATGATACATCTTCACCTGAGTTTCTTTCCATTTCTCTGAGGCTTAGGGAGAAGTCTTCCGACTGTTTCTACTGTTGGGACACAATTTAGATTTCCTGCCTGTGCATCACTGTCCTACACATCCCTGTGCAGATCAAGGAAACCACTCCCTCTGTCTGTCTCTCGAAGCATCCTGGGGAGCATGGAGCTGAAAGCATCCTGCCTGTTTTCTTCACAATATTTAAATACTTTAGATGACCCTTTTCCCCAACATGAGTAAATGCCCCCATATCTTGTTGGGTTCCATGGTAACATGGGGAATATTATTACAGATATTTCTTTTAATATTGTGTAGTTATTCTATTTCCGTTATCACTAAAGGTTTCTTACCTTCCAGAGATCACACAAAACAACAGAAAGGCTTGCCACTGCATAAGAAATCAGAGCATTAATTTACCAAGGGTGAATGAGAATGTAAGTCATGAACTAAAAGGAACAATATTCTGTTGTTAATAGGGGTTTTAAATAGCTATCTTTATAATATTTAACATTTTAGCTCTGTTTTTTCCTTTCAGATTCGTAGAAATAAATAAGTTCATTGGTAGAGAGAGACAAATAATGAGTGCAGGGATTCCTTTCCTATTAAAAAAAAAGATGTAACAGGACTGGATAATTTGCATTTTTATTTTATGGTATTTTAAATACATTAACCGAATGACAAAACATCTGAGAAATCAAAAGTTGTCAAGGAGTCTATAGTATAAAATCTTTCACTCTAGAAGTTTCATTCTAGTAAGATAGACTAAAAATGATATTTACCTATGTGTGTTTTCCTTCTTATATAACTTCTGCTATCACAAAGCAAATAAGCTTCCCCTTGACACAGTTTAAGTAAGTCACACAGGAAGCATCCTAATAGAGACAGCAAAATGCTTTTTGTTGCCTATATTTTTGTTATTTGTGAAGAAAGGAGGATGCTTAAGGGGACAATTGAAGCTCAGCTGAAGAGTTAAGAGTGGGTGGGAGTTAAGAAGGAGGATTTGACTTACTAACTGTTGCAGTGTTCAGGACAAGAAAACTGAGTAAACATCCCCTAGAAAGAAAACAATTTATCTTCTGAAATATACACTTAGAAATAAGTTGTTTTGCTAGAATGCAGATCTCTCAGTGATAAAAAAACGACTGTATGCAAGTTCTCAAAATATCATAAAGCACAGAAAACAATACATCTTGCCTTCAGTAATGCATCTCTTATGCTTAAATTGTACTTTGCATTGTGCTCTGGGTGATGCTGAAAGCTCAACTTCTCCCTTGTGGGTCTCTCAAACAGTTAGGAGCCATACATGCAACTAAAAGCAACTTTTACTTCTCAGATCAAGTCATGCATTAAATGAAGCTGGATAGCCCCAAGGCCCAATTTTTTAATATAAATTGCTGTCACTGCTTAAACATGTCAGAATTGAAGACACTTCTAGAGCTGGACACTCCTTAAAAAGGTGAAATCTACTTAAAGTTTTCCCAAAACTCAGCAGAACAGTCAAATTTCAATTTTTAATTTTTTTTTTCTTAGTTAAGCATGTGAGATTTTACTGAGGTTAATGTACTCTGATCAGACTGGATATACAGTATAAGATTTTACCTCAGCTCTTCTGGAACTATTCCTGTCCTGGCTTGTATTGCTGAAACATCAAATAATACTTTCAAATTCAAACAACATAATCTGAAGCTCAGTTCAATGTTTCAGAGGAGACATAGCTATATTTTAAATAGAGAGCTTGTATTAAATTCTAGTCCCAGTGTGGGCTGTGTTGAATCAGCACAATGCATATGGTGGAATTTTTTTCACTTATTTTCTATTTCTCTTTTACTGGCAGTGGTTTCCACAGGCTGGACTACTCCAACCCTGAGTAAAATGGCTCAGAATATTTTTTTCTTGCTGTATCAGCTATCATGTTTTAGTCACTTGAGACTTACCAGTCTATATTACTGAGAGTTCAATACAACTGCTGCTGTGAACAGAAATTTCTGATTTTTTAGGAACTGTGAAGCTAGTTGCTGTCTGGATATTGATGAAATCATAATATGGCATCAAGGAGCTCAGTGTAAACAGACCACTAAATGCTCACCTTGGTTTTTGTCCGAGCCCTGTGCAGGGCTGTGCTGTTACCAGCACTGACACTGCCCAGGGTAAGCACAGAGAACATTTGTCTGCATTGATGACACCGCCACAAAACCTTTTACATAACTCTGTAATTCTCTAGTGGCTTGTAAACACATGCAGTTTAAACATGAATATGCAGTTTAAGTTTATTCTGGCAAGATACAAAGGAACTTGAGAAGTGTAATATGCTTTTATGGTAGATGATATAGCAGCACCGTAATTTAAACTTTACTAATGCTGCTGTAGAAATAAAGCCTACACTTCTTTAAAATTGGGTTTTCTTAACATAAGTACTGCATTTAAATGCAGTGTCTGTTGTTTTCAAAAAATGTTTGAAATAAAACTGTACTATAGTCTGTGCATGAGGACAAAACAATTGAAAAACAAATTAAAGCTATTACCATGCTGCTAATGTAGATGGAGGTAAGGAAACACAAACTAACAAAAACAAAATCTATCAAAAAACCCCAGAAAATCTAAGTTTCTCATCAGCCATTCTACATGTTCTTCTCATCCTTAGCAGGATTCCTGTTTGATTATTCTTGAAATTAGTTCTGATATGTTTCCTATTTAATGTATCAGATTTATTTATAGTTCAGTGGTAGCACCAGATGGAAATGCTAGGACCAAATGAAAGAAGTACAGGAGACATTTTAAACTGAGTGTTAATTACATGCTAAAAAAGTTCTAGCTTTCCAAGAAAAAACAATTTCCAACTTCCAAAACCTTGCTATTATTTTCATTAAAAAAATCAAAGGTAAATAAAAGAAAAATCTTAAAATATTCAGAGTACTGCTTTTGAATAATGTTATCCACAATTTTAAGACAGACAGTCCATTAAATAGAAAAAAGATTTGATTTACATAAAGCAAGAGAGTACAAAAGCACAGCTTTTGTAATTTTGGTAATATTGCAGTTCTACAAACATATTGCATAGTATGTGTAAGAAAATAGTTCCCATCTTTTTATATATACTTCTATATACAAGAAAACCATTAACATGAAGGTTACAAAGCAAAAATGGTTAGCAGACCTTTATGAGTAGTGTTTGGAACAATACAACACAACACAAATTTTGATCCAGCTTTCATGTGCATTACAGTGAATCAGCTGATAACAAGTCCATAGTCCAAAGTTTGTGGGTTTTTAATTTGTTTTTTATTTAGCACTTATTTAGAATCTAAAACCAAAGCAAAACAACCAAATAAAACAAAATCCCGCTAAAAGGTACATTATGTTAGCAACCAAATATTTCAAACATCCTTCATTAAATCCTTCTAGACATTTATGGCTCTGCCTTCCAGACTTAATAACCCTCTGCATCTAATATGCTTGAAAGTGAATTATTTTATCCAGTCAAGCCAATTTTGCAAGCAAATCAGTATAATTCATTTCAAAGAAACAATGTCTTGGTATGTTTTCTTAGGAACACCAAAAGACCCCCCATATGCATGAATAGTAATGTAATTGCAAAACACTGACAAAAAATTTAAACCCTGGAAAAAAGTGAAAATCTACAGCTCAAAATGCTGCACAAATCTAAACTATGTTACATTTCATGTTGTAATTACAACTTTTCATCTCTTCATTCCAACAGAATTAGTAGAAACAGCAGTGTCATAATGTTGGATATAATAGAAGTGTCTGTCTTTGGTCTTAACACTTAACCGATGAATGAACTGCAATACAAACCATACAGCTGACAGTGCTCAGAGAGGTTGGCTAATGCTTTTACTTATCTCTTCTTTTTTCTTCTTTTTTTTTAACAAGAAAGAGACAGCATCCTATAATATGACATAAATGGTTTTTTAACAGGAGATAAATCCATTGTATATATTAAACACATGTAGCCAATAAGTTCTTTGCCGATATTTTGTTGCTGTCATCAGGATGGCATCTTAATTTTTTATTATGGTCAATGCATTGAAATCACTTTAGGAATACTCCTTGAAATCATGTGGGCTAGAAATACTTTTTAAAATACAAATATTTTTCTTCCTTTCTTACAGTTTTCAATGGATTTAAAGAAAGACATCAATATTATGAAATTCACCAGAATATTAAGACTCTATGAGAACTTGTTATTCCATCTCATAGGTTGTTGAAGCTCTTAAATATGCTCTAGTTCATACTGATGAGACTCCAATAAAGAATATCCTGACAGTGCAGAGCCACGTGGACTTACTGGGTTGGTTTTTTTGGAGTCCTGTGTACTACCCACATATCTCTTCTGAGTTCTCTTCACACAAAGTGGCAGATTATTTCAATCTTGCTGTTAAAATTAATCTAGTAACAAAAGGGTTTTCTTCCTCCCTGCCCATTCCCAACCAAGTTGGCATAAAATTTATTAAGGTTGGTTCCTTCCATCCAGTGAACAAAAAGCAGGCAAATAATCTCCAAAGGTGAAGAACAAATAGAAATTATTCAGGGGAAAATTCATGACAAAGTATCTGCAAGTCATCTTACAGGTTTATTTGAGGAGAAAAAAACTCCTTAGCTTACCTGTATACAATTTGTAGGAAGCCCCACACTAAGTCACCTAATGTATTAGTCACTATATTTGTTCATCTTTTAAGCAACAGGTGTATGTAGGTGTGCACAGATAATGAATACACATAGATGTGTCCCCATACATATCTTTTTACTTTTCCTCCTGAAATTCATGACTGTCTCTCCACCATACTATTACTTGTGTGCATAAGAAAAAGACATCCATATCCCTACAGTTATGAGTGTATTTTATGGCTACACGTTTTCATGTTCTATTGTCACCTTCTTTGTCATCTGTAACTCTTTTTGCCCCTCTTACTATCTGAAAAATCCTCATGTTCTAATATATTTCCTTGCAATATTTTCTAGTATAATTTCCTCCAAAGAAGCAAACTCTCAAATAGACAACAACTCAGCTGTTAACAGCCTTCTTTTGAAGACATAGAATAATCAATTCAAAATCTTCATTTAACTGTTAAAACCAGCAAATACAGACTTCTTGCTATGGGGTAAAATTCACACCTCTGAAGAGGGTCAACGATAAGGCAAGCACCAGTCAAGCCATTGACATGTCTTGTGCTGGTCTTCTGCACAGGAGTGAATTTCCCCTGAAGTGAAAACAAAGTCAATCTTATTAGGTGGTAATAAGATGCCAAGGCAATCACCGTGCTAGTTTGCTCATTTTCTTTTTTTTTTCCTCTAAAAATATATATTTTTTTAAAGTGTGTAGAAATACCCACCTTGCACCATCTCCCCTGGCTTTAGAATTACTTTGCAAAAGCTCTCATTTCATTGGTGACCTTAGATTCAGAAGCCTCTAAAAATACAAACAAGGTGATGTAATTTAAATAGTAGAATTAAAGAGCACACTTACCTCACACAATCAAGCCATCTTCCACAATAGGAAACATTTTTATATTGTTTTACTTTCCTGGGTTCTGCAAGTTTCAAGATACTCTTGTTAATCAATGCTGTGACAAATTTACCAGCAGCATTCCAAAGTATTTTTTATAAGATTTCAATTAACAATGAACCAAATAAGTATGAACATTGATAAAAGAAAGAAATCCCACATGAAACTTGCCAAAAAAGAAAGTCAGTAGTGAGATCTGAGTGCAAATCTGGCTGCATAATTTAAACAGAGACCTGGTAAAGGCAATTTAAAGTATCGACATACTTTTTAATACTGAATGTTGTTTAATATGTGGTTTTATATGTACTTCTATTACTTTGAAACCTCAGCAACAGATGGTAAACAAAAGAGAATAATAAATGTGAATGTCATACAAGTTGTTAGTGCACTGCTTCTCAGCACCATGTTATATTACTACTAATGTTTGTACTGTGTTCAAGTGGCAGCGGATGGACAGAGTCAGAAAATGGGCAAGATGTACCTTTGAAGATTTCTCCCTTGGTTTTGTATTTGCCAATTAAAAGAACCTTTTGAAGAGCAATACACTGATCAACAAACATATCATCAGAATTTCCTTCTTTACCCTGTTCTTCTTTTCCAGAAACTGTGTGTTCTACTTAAAGCAATTGCTTCACATGCAATGGCCTTGAAAATATTATATAAGGTCATTCAGATCTGACAAACAAGAGCATTTCTTTTAAACTTTTAAAGGAATATTGCTGAGCATCTCCAAAATTTACCTAGTGTACAAAACCCTAGACTTAATAGACAAGTAGTAACAACACATTTTTAAAGAAACCAAACTCAGGGAGGAATTCTGTCTCTTTTTGTATTAAAAACCATTTACTGAATTTGTTTAGTAAAGCAAGCATCACACAATGCTTTAAAATTTTAAAATTCAGGGATAAAAGTTTACTTCCAAAAAGATGAATGGAAAATTGTGCTTTCAGACAGTAAAGTTATTTATCATACAGAGGGAACCAATTCATCTCACCATCAAATTCTGGGTAAATTAATGTACTCTCTCTCTGTCTCTCTAGATATATATTTATGTGCAGTTCATATCCAGGTCCTGCAAAAATCTAAAACTATGTGCTTCACTTCAAGTAGCAAAGGCACCTGTGTTATTGTCCCTTTTGGAAAATAAGGTGATCTTATGTTCTAGGTTTCCTGATGAAGAACACATTGTTGAGTGGATCTCTCTCTCCCATCTCTGTGCTGAGTGGCAGCACAAGCCCCAGGAGAAGGCAGCACTGAACTCCTGCTTACAGTGGAAGAAGTTGCTCTGCAGGCCGCTCGGAGTGTCGGGCTTGTCACAAGGGAAACCGAACTGAACTGTGAAGCTGAGGGATAGTAACCAAAGGCTATTCTGGTGTGAGGATAAAACGGAGTCCTTCTAGCTCCACAGGCAGATGTTGCTACTGGATTGACATGTGGAGCCTGCTCCTGCTGGGGACAGGTAGAGTTTACCATTGGGACAGGCGCAGAGCTCATAGATAGTCTGGCGAGAAGCTGAAGAGCTGGGTGAGGAGGAGGAGGAGAAGGAGGAGGAGGATGAAAAGGACCCCACTGGTAGATTTCCCAGGCGGATTGTATCTGCGTCTAAAAATATCTAAAAAGAGGGAGAAAAAAAAGAATACATAAATTTCTATCAGCAGTGAGACATATTTTAAAGAAGTGCTTTGAGGCAGCTGTGATTTTCTAGAAATATATTTTAAATTTTAGAAATATTTTATTAGAAGTATTGTAAAGATATATTACAAATTACTCTTTTTAGAAGTAAAAAAGCTGTAGGCATTTATTGTTTTTCATCTCTGTGTAGTCATTTCTGCATTAATAGTCATTATGACAATATATGCAATTACTTCATCGACATGTTTATTCAGGTACAAATATTATTATTAAAAAACATTTAGACAAGATTCTTGAGTAGGTTGAATTTTCACTTGAACATTTTATGATTAACATTTATTCATTCATGGCAGCAGCATATACTTGCTATGGCAGAATTTGTATTTTAATAAGTGTGAAGTGATACTAAAGCACATTCCCCAGTGTGCTCCTGTAAGCAGTTGAAAATATGTGCTGAACTGTGCTAAACTGTAGGGGCTTAACAATAGCTACTTCCAGAGAATAATTAAATGAGGTTACAAAAACATATGCACAAAATAAAGAGCTTTTTTGACCTAAATTAAGAGGCGCAAAGATTTCAGGTTAGTCTTATTAAGCAGGCCATCAAGATATTCCCATTTGGTTTTGAACATTGAGTATGATTAAAAGATATTGTGGCTTTTTTCAATATGTCTTGGAAACAACATGAGTCAGTATGAAACTATAGATACCAGTAACAATGAATCTCTGTTGAGTTCTCCAATACTTATACTTACATTTGCAGAAAACTGCATGTCTTCTACTGATTCAAACAGATGAGTGTCCAGCTGCTCAGAATTTTTTAAAAATTTTAATTTAAATCTATTTTATTTTAATTTATGGAAAGAGTAAATAAGTGCTAAAGTAAAACCAGTCATTATCTCAGGAGCAGACTAAGAACTTCTAGAAGAAAGGTAACAAAATGACATTAAGCTCTGGAGGTGACACTTGAAGCTTATGAAAACGTGAGCTCCTTAAACACTTGCTAATGTTTTTTATATGTTATCTAAAATCAGTGAAGCCAACTTGACATCATTGTACTGCAATATTCACAGTACATGTAAAGAACCAAAAGAAATATGGAAAATATTGCTTTTTTTATTCTATAGGAGACAAGCATTATTTTATGATAAAATAAGTGGTATATGGCAGCAAAGCAGTGCGGAAGCACTAGTGAGCTCCTGCTGTAGAGAAGTCAGGAATAGCAGGCTGGGAAAAAAATAAATTGTCTGGATAAAATTCCATACAGGCATCGATGCATATTCATGTTTCCATCCACAGCAGAAGCACTGTAAATGACTGGAATTATTGAAGGTAATATAGTCTGAAAGTAGCCCCAAACACTACAACTCCCCATCGCTGTAAGTTCTCTAGCTCCCACAGTAATCGTACTGTCGTGGAAGGAAATATTCACCAAAAGGGACAGAAAGGGAGAATCTCAGAGGCAAAGGTGACATCTGCATGTCACAATGCCTGCTTTAATTCACATTGTGAGTGACAGAGGAAGTGATAACAAAACTAAAATGTAGAGAACTATTACCTTTGTTCTGTAACTTACATAACAAAGGAATGATGTATTTAGACACACTATGTTGTCTGGAAATTCCAGTATTACAGACCTGAGACAATTAATAGTTCACAACCCATGAAGAAACAGTTTTTATGTAAGAAATGTGGATGGTGTTGGCAACACTTTAATGTTTTGCTAGAATTACAACTGAAAAAAAAAGATTACACATGTTAAAACATTCATCTCAGCTAAGAGTAAATATGAAAGTAACTATGGCAAATATAATATGAAAACAAAATAACAGATGGGGAAAAAAGAGTTTAATAACAAACTAGAAACTAGGAACTGGTAAAATGTGGGAAGGAAACAAAGGACACAATAATTAATGGAGTGACAAGTAATTAAAAGTACTCTTTCACTTCTCATATCAAGCAAAAACAAATGGCAAATGGTAACAGGTCTATTATTAAAGTAGTAACAGTAGAGTCATCAGTAGCATTGCATAAAAATCCAGTAGCATTTAACAATGCAAGGTCTGTGTAAGTATATCTTTTGTACTAAATAATGCTCAGCACAGTTCTGTACTTGGAGAAAGATCAAAAATTGATGTCAGAACATGACTGTGATAAAATACTTTCAATTTCAACAGTAATTCAACAGGATATTAAACTGGAGCCAGTAATGTCACATACTTTTAATCAGCAGTTCTTGATAACTTTTAACAAATAGAGAGAGCTAAAAGAAATAGGAGTAGCCTTTTGGACTTTTAATACTGACTTTCAGTAAGCCTTGTGCCATGGTTTAATCCCAGCCAGCAGTCATGTGACACACAGCCATTCACTCATTCACTCCCCCACCAGAAAGATCAGGAAGAGGTTGGAAGGGTAGAAGCTGGAACACTCCTGGGTTGAGATAAAGACAGTTTAACAGTGAAAGCTATGCACACAAGCAAAGCAAAATAAGGCATGAATTCATTGTTTCCCATGGGCAGGCAGGTGATCAGCCATCTTCAGGAGAGAAGGGCCCCATCATGTATAATGGTGACTTGGGAACACAAACATCAGCACTCCAAAGCCCCTTCCCCTTATTCCTTCTTTCCCCAGAGTACAGAATGTCCCTTTAGTCAGTTGAGGTCACCTGCCCTGTGTCACCTCCCAGCTTCCCATGCACCCCCAGTCCCCTCCCCAACACGGCAGGATGAAAATCAGAAAAGTCCTTGGGTCTGTGTAAGCCCTGCTCACCAGTAACAAAAACACCTCTACATGATGAACCTTGTGTTCAGCAGAAATCCAAAACACAGCCCCATGCCAGCCACTGTGAAGAAAATAAACACTGTCCCAGCCAAAACAAGCACACCTGGATATACTTGGAATACCAAAGAAGAAAAGAAAAATACTATTTCTATGGAAGCTGGAGACATTAGAATATCATATATGAAGTAATAAAAAGCACTCCAATATAAAAGACAAGCGTGTAAGGCAACCCATCAAAATACAGGATGAGCTTTTTATACTTTTGGCAGATAGTGTGACTGACCATTTTAACAGCTTAGCTGCAGTCATGATAGGGAAGGTTCATGAGAAATCTGTAATACAAAATTAAATGTTTTCTAAAAGGCATGTCTTGATTCAAACAAAAATTAACTCAAAAAATCAGAGAGCCTATGTGTCAGAGATCTGGAGTTAAATCTCTTGAAATTTATTCTATTATTTGCTGTGAGCTCAATAATTTTTGTTTACATCAGGACAGCTACTCTTCTACAATCTACCATTGCAGGTGTTCTGTAGAGTACTGCTCCAAGACTTTAATCTAGAGCACTTTACTCTGGTGTGCATTACAAAGTAGCTCAGTTATTTTGCTCATGAAATGAAATGATCTTTAATAAGCATAGCTGTGCAGGCTTTTCCACTGGTATTTACAAATTTCAGTCTGTGATGTACAACAGTTCAGGTTTATCTGGTATCATAATCCAGCATGATAGCTATCCAGGCCTGTCCCAGCATGCATCCCAGAGCATCTGGTGAGCAATGTGGGTACTAGGATACGGTGTCTGAGAAAAATAGAACTGGCTTCTTGAGAGGGTGATATCTGCTGCAGTGAGTCCAATTTAATCCCATCCCTGTAGCTACACCCTGGTGAAGCCTGTGTTGAAGAGGATTAATAAAGATGGTTTAAAGCCAGTATTAAAATCTACCTCGTACATATGCTGTCAGGGTTATAAATGAGAGACAAAATTTAGAGATGCAACATTGCTATCTATTAGTTAAGTAGGAATCCAAATATACTGCCAGAGTAACCCAACACATTAGGAATTTCAGTGTACATATTTGAGGATACATGTTTTCTGTCCTCTGATCTGCTAAAACAGAAATTCTTGGCTGAAAAGTCTTCCAACAACAGCAAAACTTAAACTACTTACTGTTTTATATCTGATGTTATCAGGTGTTTAAAGAGAAGGGAAGAAGTGGCAAGAGAAAAAATTAAAGAGTATGATGTTTCTAGGGAACACTGCTGCTAGATAATGTGTACATGGTCTTTAATCTGTTTTGCTGTGAGAGGTATGAGATAAACCACTTAATACCTCACATGCATCAAGGCAATGTAGGCCAGTCATAGTCTTTCTGAGAGTCTCACTTCTCAGCAGATAAATAGGCACAAATAAAACCAAAGCCTTCATTCATTCCTGAAACATTGAAGGAGACTGATGGACAGATTGCAAGATGGAAAAGGCAGCTGCTACTCAGAGAATTGTTATTTCATGGAGAGCAGAATGCTAGCAGCATCACGCTCTCTAAATACTTAAGGTTTAGAAATCCCAGATCCTTGCTTTGTCATGTGCATTTTAGTACAGAGAAAATATATTAGTACTATATTGTTTAAAAGTATATCTGATTTCTGACTAATTAATGAATCAAACTGAATCAGCCTAGTGTATGCGATAAGAATGGAAAAATGGTACACTTTTTATATACACTTTTTGCTAAAGAAGATCTGCCATTCTCCTGCTCATCAGACTGTATTGTTAATCTCAACATTGAGTGAAAGGGAGAGGAGGGAAAGCCAGAAAACATAGATTATCTACAAAACAAAGAACTAAACTGAAAGAGCAAACTTTTTTTTCAGTGGGAAATATGTAGGCATGAGGTAAAAAATCAAATACTTGTACAAGCCTTCAATAAAGAGATATGAATGTATAAAATTCTCTAATGGGTCTTAGTCAAGACAGCAAATGACAGTTTAAGTTGACACAGCCAAATTAAAAATTTGAGATTTATAGACAATGAAGAATTTTCTGTATCCATGAACTCTTGACTAAACAGGCAACTCTATAGGGCTGCAAAGGCATATTTCAGGTCTAATGTAGATAAGAAATGGGAAACTGGAAAATGGGAAACAGGAAACTGGAGGAAGTGTGAAAGAAAACAAGGAAATCTGATAGGTGGGTATTAATC